GGAACTGTGAAAAATTAATATGTGGTTGCACCTATGCATGAAACTATAGATCTAAGAGGAACTTCTGACTTATGCCGGAAGGAACTGCGAAAAACTAATATGTGGCTGCATTTATGTATGAAACTATAGATCTAAGAGGAACTTCTGACTTATGCCGGAAGGAACTGTGAAAAATTAATATGTGGCTGCACTTATGCATGAAACTATAGATCTAAGAAGAACTTCTGACTTATGCTGGAAGAAACTGTGAAAAATTAATATGTGGCTGCATTTATGCATGAAACTATAGATCTAAGAGGAACTTCTGACTTATGCTGGAAGAAACTGTGAAAAATTAATATGTGGCTGCACTTATGCATGAAACTATAGATCTAAGAGGACTTTTGACTTATGCCGGAAGAAACTGTGAAAAATTAATATGTGGTTGCATTTATGCATGAAACTATATGTCTGAGAAGAACGTCTTACTTATATTATTTAGAGTAACCTCGGAATCAAGGATAAAGTATTTTGTAGATTTGTTCGTTTATCTCTCCCGAAGTAATTTAGCAGTTGGATTACTTGTCGTTGCAATATACTAGCTGTATCTTTTGGTTTCTTACCATAGATTCGTTCACCTTACAGTAGGCTTTGAACTTGTCGGTGATAAGTGGATATCCCCTTTTATGCAACACAATGACACACAGCAATTATCCCCAATATGAACAGATCCATACACTCTTGAACAACAGAGTGATTTTTTGAATAACCCTATCAGTTTGTTACATGTGTTAGAAGTCCTGTTCCTCCTGATGTAAGACCCGGAGTTGTATACCAGCTACAGCGTTCATATTGTTCTGGCGTATATGTAGGCGAAACAGGACGTAACCTTGCTAATTGCGAATAAGTGAGCGTAAGGGAGGACTTGGGCATCAAGAGCAGACGAAAGTATTCGACTAGCAGAACCTGTATCTGATAACTTACCTAGTATCAACTGGTTTGCTGAGAAACCGATAGATAACAAAACCTTCAGACTAACTCGTGAAATAAAGAAAGATTTCAGATAGCCTTGGTTAAACAACTGTTAAAGTTACATTCCATCTTCCAGAATACTGGCCCCAATCGTTAAATATTAATTTTCCCTATTGATGTATTAGACTAGCATTTGAGAAGGTTTATATACTTAAAAACTTTTATCGGTTATAGTTTAGAATTTTCTTTTCTCAAAAATTGTTTTAATATTTTTATTTCACGATTAACTTATTGTAGTATCTTTGTTTTAGTAATCTATTTACTAATGATAAAATATGATAAAAAGTTACTTTATATTATCGTGTTTATATTCTTATTGTAATTCTAAAACACTTCTCTTACTTATGAATTTGCTAGTACTAACTGCTAATTTCTTTCTTTCATCAGTTACATTCTTAGACACGTTCTTTTACTTCGTGCTCCACGTGTCGATGTTATTTAAAACAATGTTTTCTTTATGATTGAACCGCGTATTCAATAACAACCGATGTCATCAACTGTTTTAACGATTGTGGACTGTATAGTCACCAAAACTTCGGTAAATAAACAGATAGTTACTTATGTGAATGATGTCAATATGAATAATTATGATAAAGAGAAATTGCTGATGTTTGTTTAATAAATTAACAAACTTTACAAAACCTACAATTTGCACTTAAATTAAAATGAAACTTACTTCGCCATGTTTTACTATGGAAGAGATAATACATCTGATGAATAATTTCCAGTTGTAATATATTTCTTTATATAATTACTAACTGAGTTACCCGGCGTTGCACAATGGAAATTTAGATTTGAAATGTATAGATCAGTATTTTTTTCAGCAAATT